ATTAACAAGACAAAGAAGACAAGTAGAGGTATCTGTCTTTTTTGAAATAAGAATATCCATAGATTGCATAAAATTAATTTTTGTTCTTAATGAAGTATTTGGATGGTTCTTAACAACAGAACAAAGAAGTTCTACATATTCAACTAGATGACTTGTTTTAGAGTCAATTAAATTAATAATGATATCTTCAAATTTATAACGAGAAGCTCTACTTGAAATTATACGATCAAATATAATTTCAATATATTTTGGTTGAGATTCTAAATTGCTAATTAACCATGAAAATATTTGTTTAAAATAAGGAGGATTAAGTACTGGAAGAATACTAACAACAAATTGAGAATATTTCATTGGTTCTTTTAAAAAATATGACAATATAACATTTACTAATGTTTGTACTCTAACTGAACATTGATGTTCAGGAAGAGATGGAAGATAAAAATCACAAATATTTTCAAGTAATGTAATTTTATATTGATTTAATTTATTGTCATTAGTTGAAATAAAATGAACGTATTGAATAAAATTTTGTTCTTCAAATATAATATATACTAATGGTTTTAATAGAGATGTCAAATTACCAAAGAATGCATCAATAAATGTATCAGTAACAATTATATCTTGTAATTGTTTAATTATTTCAATTAATAAATCATTTTGATATAAACACATTGCATATAATAAACGTACAATAGCCATTGTATATTCATATTCATTTGATTCACAAATTAATTTTAAAATAGGAACAATTCCATTACGAAATCCTCCAGGGATAAATGGGTAAATTTCAGTACAAATTCGAGTAATGACATTAATTTGTAAATCAATTGGATAACAATATAAATGTTTTGTTAATAATGGTAATAAAACAATATAACTTTGTGGTGTTTGTTTGATAATTCTAATTGTAAAATCAACAACTTTCTTTACAATTTCATTATTTTCTTCATTATCTGAAATAATTATTTCTATTTTCTTTTCTTCTTTCTTAGGACTTTCTTCTTCTTTTTTATTTTGTTCATTTATTTGATTGTTTTGTAAACTGTTATTTGTTTCTTCTTCTTCCATGTGTTTTTCAATTCTTAATAATGAAAGAATATTATCTATTTCTTCTATGTCACGTGGAATAAGAGGAATTTGATTAAAAAATGTAATAAGTCCTGGTTGTGGTGGATGAATTAATTCAAATAATACCTTTTTGAAAATTGCTAAATATAATTCATTATACTTTCTAAGGTATAACTCAAACATAAGAAATATGATTAATTTTATATTTTTACAATTGTCCTTTGTAGTAAAATAAATCAAATAGTCTACGAGTGTTTTATCTTCTAAACGTATAGTTTCTAAATCAACTTCTTTTATTAACATTAACAATATATCTGAAACCACCTTTTCACAAAGTCTTTTTTCATCAGGATGACAACTTTGTTCATAACTATGACAAAGTCTAACTACTGAGTCTGTAGCGAATTCAACTACTGTTACAAGTGTATCATCTCTTTGAAGATCAATTAAATTAGTATTAACAACTTCTACTTCTTCTTGTTCTTCAAGTTTGATTTCTTCCATACTAATTAGTCTATTAGTTACTACTTCTTTTTCTTTATCTTGAAATCTATCATTCTCTCTATCTTCTTCTTCTATCATACCTTCTTCCATTTTATTTATAAAAGCAGTCCAAATTGAATAAAAGTGTGACATCATTATTGGTGGCATATTATATCTATATGGAAAGTCTGGAACTGGACGTTCAATTATATTAATGAGAATTTCGGCTAATTGATCTCCACTTAAACGTTCAATTCCAGGATATCGATCAACAATCTTTTTTACTACTCGACAATTACTTGGTGGTGGCTCTGAATGGACATTAAACAATGATGTAACAGGATAAAGCATTGGTATGCTTGCTGTTGCATTATGTTCAATAGCAATTTCAACAATTTTACTGACATGAAACTCTACTAATATTGATACATTTTCCAATTGAATTGGAGTAAACCTTCCAATGTATGGTTGAATACATAAATCCCTAAATGAACTATAGAATAGGTTAAATAATTGAGGGTAGAATCGAATGAGTTTAGATATAAGTTGAAGTGAATGTGAAAAAAGAGAAATATTTAGTGATAATACAGAATAATGTGACATTGATTCAACACATGCTCTTATTAAAGCTGATATATTCGGTTTTTGTATACTTTTATCATTTAATAATAAACGAATTAATTTGAATATTAAAGAGTATGTAATTATTACATACTGTGTTGATGGTAATCTTCTCTCCAATGATCTTTGTAGCCATTCTAGTAATTTCGTTAAAAGAATAAAAGAAGGAGGAGAAATTGTTTCGATTGAAGTTAATGAATTATTTAATCTAATTAATGTTTGTAATTTATCACAATTTGACAACTGTAATGAGTTTAAAATACCTTCAAAAAATGTTGCTGAATTAGTTTGTTGCTGCATTCAATGAGTAACATTAATTAGTTTTGAGATGAAAAAAGAAAAAAAATATTTAATTAAAAAAAAACAAATGAAGGTGTATTAAACCAAAACTAAATACCACATTCATTAAGTAACTCTTCTGTAAAACTTTGGAGTGAAAATGATTTGTTGTACGAAGGAAAATGATTAATGTCTATTATATATGGTTTTCCTGTTCCATTTTCTCTAATGATATCAAATCCAAATAAAGTTATATTAAATGCTTTGGACAATAAATCACAATAATTTTGTAATTCCATAGGTGTAAAAGGTTTCATTTGGCTTGATGTTAAAAAGTACTTTTTCTTTGATTCAGGGTCTTCATTATTAAAACTGAAATACTCCAATTTGCAACTACTATCAATATTTCCCAATGACTCTTGAATAGTGGATGAAATAACCTTCTTCCCTATACAAAATACTTTAGTTAATTGTCCATTATGATTTATATATTCTTGAATAACACATGGATATTTAACATAATTAAATCCATTTGGATGATTAATAATTGTCATTTCATGTGATTCATGACTTCCTTGAGATGGGATTGGTTTTGTAATAACTGGAAGATGAATGTTTTGATGTTTATTGAGAAATATCATCATTTCTTGATGAGACTGAATAACAATAAATCGTGGGCAATCAATTCCATATTGAGTAAGTCTTTCATAGGTTAATTTTCTTGATTGAATTATTTGTTGGGTTTGAATTGGGTCTATAACCAGTGCGTCTGGATTATTTTTTATTGAATCTAAGATTCTTTGACAATCTTGATCATTGATTATTTTTGGTAATAAAATGTCAAAGGGTTGTGTCAAATCACTTCCACAATAAACATTGATGACATTATTTTTATAACAAAAAGAAATATTGTTTTCATTCCATCCCATCTTTTTTTTCTTTGCATCTGATATGTGAATTATAACTTTTTTCATTTGTATTTTTTTAAGTTCGACTAATGAATTTATTTTTTAGAAAAAGAGAAAACTTAAAATGATTATTAGTTCTATTCATCAATTTGAAAAAAGTTAATAAAGGAGGATATCAAAGGGTTATCTATAGAAATATAGATAGAAGAAAAGACAACCCTATCATCTATAAAATAGTTATTGTCAATGACAAAAGAATTTAACACTCCATTAATATTTCCAACACACCCTATTCGAACTTCAATTGAAAATTATAATTACAATTTATATTCAAAGGAACAACGACCAAGTGATAAGAAATATGAAGAGTACTGTAATGCCAATTTACGTGTAAAGACAATACCTAAAAAGAAGATTCAGACACTAAAAGATGAAATTAAACCTTCAAAATTTAATACACGACCTTCATTACCTTCTTTTAATAGTAGCTCTTCATTAACATCTACTCTTAGATTAAGAACAGATACAACCAAAACTAGATCAACTACAACTTCATTTTCTGATAATGCAATTCAAACATGTACATTACTTGGTCATGTACGTACAAATGATGTTAAAAAACAAGAAGAAACAAAATACGAATGGGAGGAATCAAAAAAATCATTTAAAACATATGAAGCATGTCAACAAGCTATTTTGATAGGATTATTGATAATAAATGATTATGAAATTGAAGTTAATAAACAAATAAAGAGAAAAAAGAAATTTCCAATGCTTGACATTCTCTCTATAAAGAAATCAGAAAACAATGGGTTAGTTTCATGTGGATTAAATGAGTTTATTGCTATGTCAATGAAGGAAACTGAAACAACAAAAGAAACTGAAACAAAAAGAAGTGATTATAAACAAAGAAAGAGAAATGTTCTTACAATGGAATTTATGATGAATTTAATAGCAAAAGAAAAGCTAGTAATGGACTTAGTTAAACCAAGGTTAAGTGGTACTCTTTTAAAAAATGAAATATCGTTTATTGTTTCTTTCACATTAAATATGTTTATAAAACCAGTCCATTTGAATCAACAAGATATTTTGAAAATTGGTAAACATATTAATAATCTAATTACTAGAATTGTACTTACCTCACCTTCACAAAAACCGATTATACTTACTCCTTATCATTATATAATCAGTAGTATTTTTATTCAATTTTTTAGAGACTCTCTTGAACAATTTGATAAGGCAATACATTTTAAAGAATCAGACAACATGTCATTAACAAATACCTATCCTTTCCAAAATTTACAACCAGAATTTTTAAGCCATTTCCAGAACTTAGATTTTTCTTTTATTAGAATAGATACTCTCCAATTCATTCTAAAAACGTTTTGATTTGATGGAATTATTTGTTTGGTTAAATAATTTGATTGAATTCTTTTCAATTATAATCAATTAAAATTCATTCAACTATAATTACAAGAATACCAAACAAAATAACTAAAGTACTACTAATACAGAGAAAAGTCATTAAACCCCATCTAACTTTTAAGTTTTTATTTTGTTTCATCTCCTTTGTAACTAGATTTTGTTGAAGTTGTTTATTTAAATGAATGTCAGTTGAATTATTTTTATAATTATTGGTTTCTATTCTTGATATTGTTTTGGATTTTGAAAGAATTTGTCTATTTCTGATAGGACTCTAGGAAAGTAAATATAGTCTGTCATAAATGAAAACAATAAGTCAAAACAAACTGGTTTATTTTCACAAATTTTTATAAAATTTAATAATTGTTTTGTTCCAACTTTGCTCTTTTCAAAGGCTTTAACAATTTGTTCAACGCCTAATTCATTTTCTGTTGGTTGTTGGGAAAATGATTTTGATCTTATTTCTTCTGAAAGTGCATAAGTATTTCTTTGACTCTCTTCAATTTTTTGTTCGTTTTTATCACGTTTACTTTTCATTTCTTCAATAACGTGTTGTAGCTGTATAGTTTTTTCAAACAATACATCTCTTTCAATAGCAATACTATCTTTTGCTCGTGTTAACACAATTTCTCCATTATTAATTTCAATAGTGCAATGAATTCCTGTGTTTTTGCTAACATGTTTTTGTAATTCTGCAAGAATTTTAGCATGTTCATTCTTTTCTTGAATTAAACTGTCTGTTATTTCCCCCTGTCTCTCTATACTTTTCTTTATTTTGTCTGTTAATTCATTCATAATTTGAACTTTTTCAATTGCATTTTTTCTTGCTGCTTCTCTCTCATTCTGAATTGTATTTAAACATTGACTTGCCTCTTTTATCATTTCTGTTATTTGTTCATAATTGTTTTCTTCTTCGGTCATCCCTTCTTCAATTTCTTCTGTGTTTGAGTAATATGTGTCTTCTTCCATGTCTTTTTTTTTATTCATATCAGTCTTTTATTATAAGTTCTTTTCAATTTTTTATAATACATTAACCATAAAAATTCTTTCAACTTCTCTTGTTAGAATTATCAAAGTATAAAAAAACAACTTTTACATTAAAAACATCAAAAAGAAAAGCAAAAACAAGAAGAAATGATGAAAAAACTTAAAAATACTAAAATTCATTAATAATACATTGAATGACTGAACTTGATTTAGTGTTTTTATGTGATACCACAGGATCTATGGGTTCATATCTTAATGCTGCACAACAAAGCATTGAGAAAATAATAAATACAATTATACAATCAGAGAAATGTAATGTTAGATTTGCACTTGTTGAATATAAAGACCATCCACCACAAGATAGTTCTTTTGCATTTAGACTCACAGATTTTACTGATTCTATGAAGTGCATTAAAGAAGCCGTTAATAAGATGGATGCAAATGGAGGAGGAGATACACCAGAGTCTGTTTGTTGTGCAATGCACTGTGCAAGTAATTTAAAATATCGAGAAAAAGCAGCAAAGGTGATAGTTTGGATTGGTGATGCACCACCTCATGGGTTTATTAGGGAAGGAGATGGATTTCCTAAAGGATGTCCATGTGGATGTGATTTACTTAAAGAAGTACGAGAGTGTATGAACAAAGATATTGTCATATATTGTGTAGGTGCTGAGCCATTAACAAGTGAATATTTAAGAACATTAATGCGAGCAGTAGCACAATTGACAGGAGGACAATATGCAGCATTAGCATCAGCTAATGTTCTTGGTGAATTAATTACTAATGGAGCTATTGAAGAGATTCAAATGAAAGGAGTTATTAATCACATCAAAGAAGTACTTGAAAAAGACCCATCATTTAAAGCATTACCTCCAAATGAAAAACAAAAAAGAGCAAAAGAAGAAATAGAAAAACAAACTAAAAGCACGGAAATAGAAGGCATAGAAATTGAAACAATATTTAAACATGAACTTGCACCAATTCCACAAATATTTTTAATTGCTGAATCGTTAAAAGATTTAAAAGATAAAATGTATGAAATGCCTGATATTCAAGTTGAATTTAAAGATGGATTGTTTACAACACAGAATAGATTTATGAGAGGAATGATGGTAGGATGTGCAGCAGTACCTATGGTGCGTGCGGGGGTGTGTTTTGAAGCAGTACATCCATGTTGTTTTGAAGAAGCAAGGGGAGTTGAAACAGACGAATTAGTTGAAGAAAAAGCAAGAGGGGAATTAGAAGAAAGGATAGCAACACAAGAAATAAGAAAAAAGAAAGGAAGAGTTACAAAAGAACAAAGTGAGCGGATGAAGCAACGAATAAATAATTGGTATAAATAAGTGAGGAATTAAAATAAGATAAAAGAAAAGTTTGGGTTAAATTTTGAAGAAATAAAAAAGAAAAAGAGAAGGAAAGAGAAGAAATAAAATGAAGAAACAGAAAATGAAAAGAAGAACTGAAAATAAACAAATAAATGAGTGAACTTAGTAAATATCCAACAGGTTCTCTCTCAATTAAATTCTTTTCACAAGTAACAGAGAAAAGAGTATTAGTTAAGAGAGTTAGATTAATAGCAAATAAAGATTTACAAATGTGTATTTCAAAAGATTTTGTTGCACTACTTACTAGTGGAACATATGAATTAATTGAAGTATGGGAATGGACAAGTATTACAGAAATTTCATGTACAGAAAATGCAGATGAATTTATTGTTAAAGTTAATGGAAAAAAACAAAAATTAATATCAACTGCAAGAAGTTATGTTATTTGTATACTTCAAGAAATATAAAT